CACCACAAAGGACGATAAGTCTATTCATCATGATTTTATGATGGTTCAGTAAATATGGTTATACTTATAAGATTAAGTGTAATTCTGATTCTTTGAAAGGTTTCAGAGAATGGCATAACGAATATGAAAAATCTATTAGGCAGAAAGATAAAGGTTTCTCTAATATGAAAGGAAAGGAGAGTACTTTAGTATTATGTTTTATGATCATCTTAATGATTATGGCACTATATCACAATTGATCCTCTAAGGACATCTTAGTGAAATTGTCTCAACTAAGAAGAGGAATCAGATATTGCTGAAATAGTTTAATCAAGAGATGAATCATACTTCGTTTCCAAATCAAGTTCTAGAGTCATACTCTTGTTACTTTAAATCATATCTTGAAGCTTATTTCAAACTAAGTAGGTTTATAACACCTCATGAAATATCGAATAGAAATTTTTTCTTAATCCAGCACATTTGAAATTGGTAGTGAAGGGATTATGTTGCATAAAATAAATAGTTTTTCACAAAAACCAGCAATGGAAGATTTTAAAATTTTCTTATAAATTTTAAGTCTAGCAACAAAACAAACCATCAAGTATCATTTTAAAGATATTAGAACGATATTATAACAACTATAGGGTGTTTAGAAAACATAACCTTTGTAGCCTTTGGAACCTCTTAGATTTGGGGTGTTGAAGTGGATGGCAAGAATAAGGTGCTTAATCTTCTCTACAAGCAATCCACCAATAAGAGTGTTAGTGATTTGTTTCAATAATGTGATTTAAATGTAATGGGATTACTTTGTTGACCAAAAGTGATTTGGATAAATATTAAACAAGTAAGGAAGGTCTGGAATGCACACTTGTTACTACAATTTGCTAATCAATTTGGTAGTTATACTGGTAGTTATAGTTATTAGACTTATCCAAGAGGGATACTGTTGGATTAGGTGTCTAAGCCCATAACTATAATTGGTAGAAACTTGAATTGATAGTAGCACAGTCCTTTTGGGTTGCCTTCAAACCTGACAATTGAATAGGATAACTGTTAGAGAGAGAAAAATGATTTATTAATTTATTAATTGGTTAATAAATTAATTAGAAATCGAAATAAGAGATTTATTAATGTATTATGGAAATAATATATTGATTATAAATCATATTGTTTAATTAATATTTAATCAAAAAATAATTTGGAATTAATTTTGGGATTAAAGGAATTAATTGAAACTGTAGGGACTAAAGGTGACAATGTTCAATAGTTGAGCATTGAGCAAATCTAGAACCTCCATATAGTAGGGGGAATGAACTCTAGGTGCTTCTAGGGTTTCCTTGGGCTCTAAGGGTGCCTTGGATGCCTTAGGGAGGAAGTTAAGGGATTAAGGTTATCTTAGATATATCTGCCTTATCCAATACCTTTCTAACACCTATATAAACCCTCCTTAGGGTTGGATTTCATCGATGCACTCCTCAAAAAGGCTTAGAGCCGAAATACTTCTTCCTTTCTCTCTCTCGATAGTAATCCTTGGTTGCTTGAGCTTGCTTGTAAGCTATTAGAGGCACGAAACTAGTGAAGCTAGCTACCAAAGGTCTTTCAAGCAAGGATTCAAGATTGTTTACAATAACAATCTTAAAGGTATGTATTATAAATATTTATTATGTGAATTTCGATTATAATACATAAAACATAGGGTTTCTTCTTTTGTGTTTATTGTTTGCATGTTTAATTAGAGAAAACTTAGATCCAATTAATTTAGGGTTGCATGCACACATAGGATTGTATGTTATGCTCAAAACCCATCAGCTACAATTATCCCCCACTTGAACTATACTTTGTCCTCGAAGTCTGCCGCGATGAACAACTCTTGATAAATCTTAGCCTTCAGCTCCCTGGTCCACTCGGAGCCCATCTGATGCTACCATCGCACATTTACCAACGATATTTCCTTATTACGTAAAACCTTCACCTTCCTTTCCAGGATAGCCATCGACCTCTCAACATAGTTTAGGTGCTCATCTACCTAAATATCATCCAATGAAACCACTACATCCTCATCTAATACATACTTTCGCAACTACGGAACACGGAAAGTGTTGTGAATCTGACTGAGCTCCTCAAGAAGATCTAATTTGTAAGCAACCTTGCCAACCTTGACAATTACCTGAAAAGGCCAACTATACCGGGGGCCCAACTTCCCCCTCTTCCTGAACTGTATTGATGTGCACAAATTATACCTATCAACTTTTAAATTTATAACCTAACAAACTTATACTAACTATGCACCTATAGGTAGTGTACCTAGTCAGATTATAATATAGCTTGGGTAAGTCAGGTGTCAATCACATGGAACGATATTTAATTAATAAAATAATTACTAAAAGCTAAACTAAGAAAAACAACTAAAATGGAGGGCTTTTATCTGATTTTACAAGTTCAGAAAAACTTAAATTAAAATAACAAACTAATTACTAAAGTAAACAACTAGAAAGACAATTTAAAACCAAGAATAAAAGATACTCTCGTTTAGCTTCGAATCCCTCCTTTTTCCTATGGTTGATTTCAAGTTAATGGATTAATTCCATTAGTTACCAAATAAAAGTTACTAGTCATCATGGTCAGACTAACTAGCATAAGTTTATTTAATAACTTTAACCCAAATGATCATGCAAGTTAAGGATACTAAATTGATTTTAAAGGTAATTTGGACTTTGAATGATAGAATCTACAGACTACTATTCTATGGTCAAGTCTAGTAATCAAGCAAATATTATGATCAAATACTGATCTTAAACACATTTAAGCAACTAACTTATCACCTACACTAGGATATGGTCAATCTCTAGCTCTAGCAATTTAATGGTCATAAACAACTAGGTAAATCAATTTTCATGCAATTAACTGCAGTTTAACTACACAAAACTTGAGGCTAGGCAATAAAGATAGAAACTTGAACTAGCTAGGTTTAGATTTATCAAACAATATTTAAATCAAAGCCAACTTCATCAATCCATCAAACAAGAAATCAACACATAATTTAGGAGTTCATCTAATCTAAACGAAAGCAAGGGCTTTTAGCCAATAATCACAGCTGGGAAACACATAAACATAAGGGAAACCAGACTACTGATGATTAAACTAGGCAAACCGAATGTGTATATGCGAATCCTTGCTCCAATCTCTTTATCCTTTGATCTCTAGTTGAATTTTGCCCTCAAAGGGGTCTTGGAAGGGTATTTTTTTGTTAATAGTCGCAGCCTTCAGTCCTCTCTCTCCTGGAATCGACATACTATCTGATATATATATATATATATATATATATATATATATATATATATATTATATATATATATAGTTACCAAAAATCTCAACACTACGACGTAGTAAAGGCACCACGTCGTGGTCCTCAAGTTTATCCCGTATTCTCAAAGTCGACGTCAAGAATCGCGAAGATTCCATTTACCACGTCGTGGTGGTGTCACCACATCATCGTGGTTGAAAATTTGACTTTTCTGAAAACATGAAAGTCATCTGAAATTGTGTCTAGTGTTCAGATCATTTTGAATCTCGTCAATCGGAGTTACGAGTCATTAGATATGGTCAAAATACTGACGAGGGGTCAAGTTGTCCAACAACATCTTTCTTGTGTCTTTTTCTTCCCTAAGCTTGCATTTTCCTGCTTCCAGCTTCCATGCTGCTTCCAAGCATGCCTTTTATGCTACATAACAACTATTAAACATAATAAGTACCTTTTTTGTATAATAAGCATAATTATAGCTAAAAGTATTAAGATATGATGTAAAATATATGTGTAGATATGCACATGTCATGTATCATACATTTCGAAGGTGAGACCTTTAGTAATACCATGTCATTGACTTGAAACGCCAACTCGGATCAACGCCGATCGACATAGCTCTTCTGCTGACTCTAAGTGGTCGACAGTCTCTGCCTGATCTGTTGAATCAACTTTGTGGTATGAAGGACCACTTCGGTCCATCCCATAACCCTGTAACCAATCTCTCCCCAATAAACTAGGGTACAACATTTCTATCCATACAAGAGCACGAAAGGCGGAGCACTAAGGCTGGAGTGATAATTGTTATTGTAGGAAAACTCTGCAAGAGGTAGGTAGGAGTTCCAACTCCTACTGAAATCGATAACACATGCCCCCAATATATCCTCAAGGGTATGTATCGTCTACTCACTCTGGTCGTCGGTCTGCGGATGATAAGCAATGTTGAAGTGCAACCTTGTGCCTAGTTCCTCATGGAACCTCTACCAAAAATGGGAGATGAACCGAACATCATGGCCTGAAACAATGGAGTCTAAAACCCCATGGCAAGTAACGATCTCACGAGCATACACATCGGCCAACTTCTCGGCCGAAGAAATCTCCCGCATCCCTAGAAAGTGGGCATTCTTGGTCAATCAATCCACAATGACCCATATAGCATCAAAACCCTCTACCGTCTTTTGCAACTTGGTGATAAAATCCATCAAAATTTGTAACATCCCATTTAAAATATAATAATTAAATAATAAACCCGAAACCCTGAGAAGTAATTTTTATTATTATTTATTTTTTATTATAATCCAAAATCAAATAATAATTAGCTGGGAGTCGGTTTCGGGAAGCCAAATGACAAGATTTGAATCTCCAGGGGTTAAAGTGTAATTTTAGGACTTAATATGTAAGGATCTATGGAAGTGGGGACTAAAAAGTAAATTCTAGACCTAAGATGAGAATATTTTGTAGAAGAGGGGGCTGACTGGTAAGATTTGGACTAGGTTTTTAAAGGTTCTCAGAAAGAGGGGTTAAAAGTGTAAATTTAGGACCTGTTTTGAAAGAAAATAGAGAAGGGAGGGACCGTCTGCGTCATTATGGGCCGATCTTTACATGAGGCGGATATATAACCTCACCACCCGGAACCCTAACCCTAACCCTAATGCTTCATTCAACTGCCACCCTCATCTTACCTCCCTCCAGTCGCCATGCTTGTCGTCATCGAAGTTCACTAGAGCGCCATTGCCAACCGTCGACGAAGCCAACCTCGCACATCTTTATTACCAGTGGTATTGGAGATCGAGTTGAAACTTCCCCGGAGAATAACGTCGCAATAGGTGGAAAGCAGAAGGACAGAGCCGTCTTCGTGAGTGTCATTATCATCGCTCCTAGTCACATCTCCTCTTCGTTCCAGCCGTGCTACGCCTGGCTGTGCCCTACGCCGCCGTAAGCTTCGAGTGACCACCTTCTGTGGTATTTCTGTCCGTCGCACGCCACCAGGGGATGGTGGTTGGGTTTGTGGTTTGTTATGCAATGGTGTGTGGGAGTGGGTTCCGTCGAATGAAAGGCGTGAAAAACCACCATGGCAGCCGGCCATGGTGGTTGTCGCCGATAATGAAGTCGTTGTCGTTAACCAATGCTGCTGCTGCCTAGCTCATCCACTATCGCCGCCGTCGTACGCCACTAGGTGGGTGGCTGGGTCTATTTCACAAACATAAGTGTTTTTTGGTGTGTTTCCATTGTTAGGGTGTGTTATGTGGGGGTGGAGTAATCGGGAATCAAAAGTGAGCCACCCATCACGACCTTGAGGTGGTGGCTAGCACCTCCGACTATCACCTGTCGCCACGGTTCGGTTGTGTGTGTGTGTGTTTGTGTGTGTGTTTATATTAGTATGTGCATGTGTGTTATTTGGATTGGCTTGAAAATTATAATCGTTCCAGAATAATCAATAGAAAAATCCATAACCACCACCGTGAGGTGGTGGGTGCCGCCTCCTGCAGCCACCAATTGTCGTGTTGGGTGGCGGTGTGCCTCGTTTGCATTTTTACATGTTTGGGGATACTTGGAAAAAGTGGGCCCAATGAAACCCTAATGGGCCCAATAAAACCCTAATGGGATCAATGAATCCCTAATTAACCAAAAAGCTCAACCATTTGATTAATGGGCTAGTATTTGGGTCGGAAACCCTAATTAGGGTTTGGAAAACCCTAATGTCATGAAACCCTAATTTTGGGATTGATCGGGACCACACGGGAGTTATTTAATAAACTTAAATATATTAAATAGTAATCATTGGCAAATTAACCTAAGGAAATATTGGACTTAATGGATTAAGTCCTTAATGGGTTAAGTAAGAAACACTTAACCCCAATCGTCATTTCATGTGAAAACCCTAATTTCACTTGGACCTTAATTTGGCCTTCCTATTGGGCCTTGATAGTTGGACTATTGATAGGCTATCCAAGAACAGGTAACTGGACCAAAATAATTAGGTGAGTTTTAGGGTAAGGCCCATGTGAAGGACTTGGGCCCAATTTGGAAAATTAGGCCATAGGTGGGCCATAATTGGGCCTTTATGGTTATGTGATATTGTGCCATGGGAATACTTAGATTTTGGAATATAATAATGGAATGGGCCTTAAGGAAAGATCATGTAGAGGTCTGGGCACAATTTGGAAAATTAGGCCATATGTTAGGCTTTGACCCATTACTTAACTTGTGTGCTTTTGGTGTGTGAGTTGGACCTTGGGCTTGGAACCCAATTATTAATTGGGTATTGTTTGATGTTGGCAGTTTGGGAATCTCTCAACCAGCAGCTGGAGTTTTATCCGCGAGACTTTAGTAGTGTCAGGTGAGTTATCCTCACTATACTCAAGGGTCTAAGGCACCAAGGCCGACTCTTTTGGATTGTTATCTGGATATGCTATGCTAGTATGATCTGTTAGATTGGTATCCTAGTAGATATGATGGTATTGTGTGTTATGTGAGTTGATCCATTAGATCGATTTGTTTGTCTATTGCTCGAGTATTGTATGATTTGTTAGATCAGTATCCTAGTAGATAGGATGTTATATGTTGTTATGATCGTTTAGATCAGTTTGTCTGTCTATAGACTGTTATGTATTATCTGGTATATGTGCATATGTTGATTGGTGGTTGAGGCTTATTTGCTTTATGCGAGAGTCACCATACGTGGGCATTTCAACCTAATGTTTGTGGGCCGTGAGTATTCCATCCTGAGGCTGATTAGACTCGTAGTATGTGGGAATTCTAACCCGATGGTTGTGGGTCGTGAGTATTCCATCCCTAGGTTTATTGGACTAGTAGTATGTGGGCATTCCAACCTATTGGTTGTGGGCATGGGGTATTCCATCCCGAGGATGATTGGACTCATTGTATGTTGGCATTCCAACCCGATGGTTGACTGGACCCATAGTATGTTGTTTGCGATTATATGTGTATTGTTGTGTATGGGTATTTTGGGGGAACTCACTAAGCTTTGTGCTTACGGTTTCAGTTTATTGTTTCAGGTGCTTCAGATGTCTCGGCAAGGAGAAGGTGTGATCGTACACATCCTCGTTTTTTGGACTTATGGTTTCTAAGATACTCTGATATTAAACTATTTTGAAAACATTTTTGTAATAATTAATGGCTTTTGGATATTTGAAAAAGTTTTAAATTGGCTTGATTTTTATGGGTATTACAAGTTGGTATCAGAGCCTTGGTTTGAGTCAATTGGAGGAACACTCGTGTGAATCCAGTCTCAAATCAAGGAAATGATTTTTAAAATGATTTTTAAATGGTTTTCAAAATACTAAGGGAGGATGTAGAGTGTACGATCTGTCGGAGCTAGTAAGTAGACCCCAAAATACCATACTGTTATTTGATATTGTAATATGTTAAGAAAAACATGCTAGTACTAGGCTATGGATCTTCAAAAATTACATGATAGAATTTCCTGATTACATGATGCTTGCTAGCCTAGGGTGTTCCTTATATGAAATTAACATCGTTAATGTAGTTGCTCAGTGTATACATCATAAGTTATACATAATTAATATCATATATGCTAAGAATACTTGGTTTAGCTTTATTTCATGTTCCTTATTTGGTTGTGGGATTAGAGTAGGACCGAGTATTTGAATGTCTATGGGGTCCAACGTTATGTATAGCTAGCATACACGAGTGAGGATTTAGCATTCCTCTAGGAGTGAGGATTTAGCATTCCAGAAGCTTCACGGGTCGGTTGTGTGAGGCCGGGAGGCCAGTTACGAGATATTTAGCATTCATCTAGGAGTGAGGATTGAGCGCTCGCTATGATTATGTATATTGTTAGGGCGTTGTGATGAGACTTGAGACAAATATGGGTATGTGTGGAAGGTAGTATGGGCCCGTACTACTACTGAAGGCACATGAACCATATACGTAGCAAGGAAGTCACAACCCCTAGGGTTGGGTTGGGAGTTTGTCCGCTGTCATTATATAGATTATCATAGATCTTTATGGTGTCTTACCAGAATGGTGGTTACGAGACATCTTGAGACCGGATCTAGGTTAGGATCGGGAGCTGGTGGCTAGGATAGGCTAGCATTGACAGAGGACCGTGTCAGTGAAATCATTAGGTAGGAGGTAATTAGGGATTGTACGAGGACAGTTTTGAGAGATGTTTGGGTCTATTAAGACCATCATGGTTGATTATTTCAATGAGTGCTATGTAGCCTTTGCCGAGACGGCTGCTATAACAGCTACATCAGCTGTAACAACGACAAGGGGAGGAGCTGGTCGAGCTTTCCAGTACCGGGACATTTTACTAGGACATATTCTGATAAGTAGAGGGCTGCAGTTACTTGGGATCAGGGAGATGTTCTGTACTCGTTACATTCCGCAGGTTGAGCGGGAGAGTTTAGCACATGAGTTTCTAGATTTGGGGCTTCGGGGGGTTTTGCTCGAGGCCGGAATGTGAGTCGCGGGGACTCCAGAAAGGATTAATGATTATGTTCAGCTGGAGTTATGCAGCTGGAAGTAGACTGGTTAATTGATAGGATTGGAATGTCATTTTCTAGGGCAAGGATTGTGCCATTTCAGTTTACACGCTCGAAGGATTGAGCATGCTTGTGACCCCATGATTAGGTTGTATTTTAGCTCGGGGTCAGTTGGTCACTGAGATTGGCAACAGTAGTTCAATGCTGGTGAGCACAGGTGGGTCGATGTGGCATAAGTATCTTGTGAGATCCGATTCTCCTTGGATCTCTTGCATCCGACGGTAAGGATTGATTGTGTGATTCATTGCACTTTTGGGATCGGAGGCTATGTCTTGGGAGTAGTTTGTAGCCCGGTATAGGACAAAGGTTGCTTCAGCTACTGCATCTCAGCTGTGGATGACTGAGCTGGTGAGTGAGTCAGGGTGCGAGACCCTGAATGATATGATTTCTAGAGCCTGAGAGCGGGAGAATTATTGGAACACTTTGGGAAGAAGGGTATTATGTAGGAGGTCTATGGATAGGGTCCCACAGGATGGTTATTCAACATTGTCTGGACTTAGTGGTTTATTAACCATTATTGATTGGCTTATGATAACACCAAGGGAAGTAGCTCGTTGTTGAGATATTAGTTGGAGCACCTTTAGGTCTTCAAGATTTGAGTGTGGGATCATTCAAGCATTAGAGACTGTTAGTTTCGCTGGGATTTAGGAAGTGTTAAACTAGTTCTTAGAAGTGTGTGATCACTGGGGATTGGCTGGTAATTGAGCACTAGTTGGAAAGAGTTGGTTGTCATCGGATCGATCATTGGAAAATGAGGACGATTGGGAATTCTCTAACTTACATGTATTGTAAAGACTTAGTCGAATCTAAGTGGGGGAGAATTATCTAGGGATACAGAAGCAGGAGCGGTTTTGAAAATCGGATAAGTTTCGCATCGTTGTCAAGAGGGAAGATGTCACACCCCCGAACCAGACGGCGGAAATGTCTGAGGGCTCGCGTGACTCAAATTGAATATTATCATAATGAATATACATGAAACATAACATAAACTTCACCATGCGTTAATACATAACAACTGACATTGTTCACATCAAGTACATTGTTTAAACATTACATATCCATGGCATAAATTGTTTGAAAGTTTTCGAAAAGAATAACACCCTATCATACTTGGTATTACTCGGCTTATCTGTTACCTGAGAATACAAGTTATTTTGAAAAACGTCAATATATGGAATGTTGGTGAGTTCATAAGCAGGGTTGTTTTGAAAATGTTTTGTGTAGTTTATAAAACCCAGAAAATCCGATATTTTCTGAAAAGACAATTGTTTATACCAAAGTGTGAAGATCCATACGTTTATGCATAAATGAATTCAAAGCGCGTATAAACGAGAAGTTTTGCATGATAATTATTGAAAAGTACAAGTGAATGGTGTTGATCTCCTCGAAAAACCCGATGTTTTCCAATAACATAATATAATATAATTGTTTCAAATTGTTATACTATCACAACGAATGATTTTGATTTTCCTTGATTACTCGGATAGTATTGGATTTATTTGTGTGAGTCGTCATAACCATGCATGATAATGACTAGTTCGTCTATCTTGGCATT